AACCCAACTGTTAAGGAAATGTGATATTCTTAGACTCACAGCACTTCCTATATCATCTTGAAGCTACCAACTTAGCCCGCTGCTTGGAGAGCCATCAAATAGGCCATGTGGACACCAGGCTATGTATGCCTCAAAAGCATTCGGAAAGTGTGCTGCACTCCAGGCAAGCTGTGGTGTTAGGTCTCTGGCTTTCGGGTGGTACTCAGCTTTGAGGGTAACTAGTAGCCTAGGAATGAGAATGGCTCATTTCAACACTCCCAATCCTTAACACGTCCCTTTGACTCTGTGCAACCAACATCTAAGTGACTGCACTGTTTAAAGACACAGGGTCAGACAGAACTGAGCAGCAAACATCTTGCTCTCGAGCAGCTCTAGGCTGGTGGGCAGTTCTTGTCAGAGAGCTACAAAACTTGCTGAGGAGAGCAGAGTGACAGTGTGGAAGGACTGACAATGAAAACACTGCAGGAGGCCTTGGTTCTTGCAATTTGGGGCAGGTTCCTTTGAGGAGCTACAACTGAGAGGACAGACATGGCACAAAAGACCTGGTTCTAATCCCAGCTATATCAAGGGACCAGAAGTGTGACATGGAACAAGCACCTTAACAGTGCTGTCTTGCTTGGAGGAAAGTAAGACACGGAGACTACACACGGAGACTACATGCAAGGTGCGGGGTCTGACAGGTAGGATGCTTGTTGTTCATACTTTCACAAGGTTAACTGTTGGGTGTCTCTTCCCAGTGACCTAATTACCAGAGTAGCCATTGGGCTTTCTCAGGTTTTCTACTTGGTGCCTGAGGAAACATGATGTCCTGTTGTGAGTGACCTGGAGCTTCAGGCCATTAGACTAACAGGGACAAAAGATGGCAAACACTCCAGAAGCTCTCTTGGGCAACGCATGGCTTCAGGTCCTGGGGAATCACACCAGAAGAGTAACTATGAGGTCTTTGAGGCTTGCTTGGTCACAAGCTTCTGGGACAGATGACTTTGAATGAGATCCTAGGGGGCTCTCTATGACTGCCGGTGCTTCAGAATGTGCAAGATTTCACATATCTTCATGCACAGACTATCTGTAGGCCCTTAAGAGCAGTAGAGACGACTGTTGGCAGCTAGTATCAACTGTACAGGGGCCACTATTTCTTCCCCACTTAGAGTAACCACAATGCCTAACACTATAGGAAGCTCCACTGAGCAGCAGCAATGGTAGCTAAGCATCTCCAATCCGAGTGTCAAAAAGAAATTCAACCTAGAGATTGAATGTGTGAGTTCCCAGGCCTGGTCTTAGGCTTTGGGGAAACACTAGGGAACTAAAGGACCCAAGTCCCTGCTGTCTTGGAACTGGTATTCTAGCTGAGTAGAGAGGAAAAACAAATAGTAAACAACCCCTGAATGAGTTATGTGGAATGTCAGGAGTAACGAGTGCTTGAGAAGCTGGGAAACCAGGGATGGGACTGAAATGAACCGGCTCGTACTGGAAGGAGCATTTCACCAATTACTCATTCCATTGTATTCCCTGTGGCTGCACTGTGATATTGGCTAACTCCTGCTTGTCAGTCTTGTGCAAGAAACATTTTGGGGGATGTATGCTGTCCAGGGTTCAAAGCCTACAGCTCCTTCTAGTTCTGTCTGTGTCAAGCCCTGTTCCCCAGAAACCACCACCTACTTATATCACACCAGACCCTGTGCTTCCTTCACACCCACATGGGGGTACTAGAAAGTCCTTCAGCCTATCCCTCCCGTGTCCTTACTGTATTTGGCTACCTCTCTCCTCTTTGCCCTAGAACTCCACCACCCGTCTACTGCCTCTGACCTGGATGAGCGAGGCAGCTTCTAAAGACTTTCTACCTCCATTCTTGCCACAGTGCCAACTCTCACCCACAGTGGCCAGTGGGAATGTGTGCAGTGGGCTCAGGCTTCGGTTACCTGTCTTTCTCTCCAAAGGTGCTCATAACTTGGAAAGTAAAATCAAACTTTTTGTGTACACTGACAGGCTTCGTGTACTATGTCCTTGGCCTCATTTTCTTCCATTTTCCTAGTCACATGACTTGGTCCTCCTTATTCTTTTTCTCACTCTCCAGTGTACCAAACTGCTATCACCTTAGGGCACTTGCTGTCTCTGTCACATGAGTTTTCATTTCTAAATTTTATGTCTGTCTCACGTAACCATTGCAGTTTTAAAGAAAATGTTCCTACTAAGAACAGATGATGGTCCACCATTTTCTCCCCATCACTCCAGTTGGTCTTTCTCTAGCTCTCTTTGGTAATTTCTCAACTGCTGCCTGCCCTTCCCCTGCTCTTAGAAGAACTGTCTCTCCAGCAGCTACAGCAGCCCAGGCTGACTGACACTGGGATAGCCCTTTGTAAACAATCCTTCCTGTGTTTCAGAATTCTCTAAAAGGCCACTCTCACCTGATGGCTCCAACTTCCCAACCACAGATGCTAATCTTGCCTGTGTTGCTGAGGTTTTAGGGGTTTGGTTTTGTTTTGGGGAGACAATTTCACTAATTTGCTCAATCTGTGGACTAGGATGGTCTCAAACTCACAGCAACCTTCTTACCTCAGCCTTCCAAATGCTAGGATTATGGGAGTGAGATTTCCCCACAAACTGTCTGTGTTGAACAGTCCTGTACAGTGTGTTGCCTCACCCTTCCATAGCTCTTATTCCTCCACAGTCTGAGGCTGGAGGTCAGTTCTTCCTCCAAGACAGCACAGAGTTCAGGAGACCCATATTCCAGGCTTGGAGCTTCCATTCAATAGCTCTATTTCTGGGTCAAGTCCTTTCTCTTTCTCCTGGTTTATTTCTCAATGACACAGAAATGTATTTATGAATAATGTTTGCAAAGGAGTCCAGGAATGCTGTCCCCTAGTCTGCGACCCTGCTGTGTGGACAACTTCTAGGTTCAGGGGACAGCAGACGTTTAAGGGAGCCTCCACTTATTCCTCTAGAATCCCTTAGAAAGAATCCAATTGTCATGAATTCCCAAAAGGACATGCTCTGTGCCACAGAAGGAAGACAATGGATGCTACACATGTGCGGGCAGCAGGTCACTCAGACGAGGGCACACTCCTCTCTCTAGATGGACTGTCCACATAGATAGAATCTTTGTATTTCTCTCATTGTGGGAGTGCTTGCTTTGGCTTCACGTGATGCCCCTGTGTATGATTCATCTTTAGGCCATTTTCCTATCACTCCATCATCTACCTATTTCAGAGGCTCGGTTGCTGAGGCTGAGGTCGGGGAGAGCTCCATCCTCCCCATATTTGTTCTTGTCAGGACTGCTGTGAGACAGTGCGAGATAAGGGGGCAAGAAAATTCAGCTCCTCGTCTCTGACGTGGTTTACTGGTCCAGAAGTGGCCTTAGTGATAAGAAGCCCTCTGTAGCCCTACCATGGTTGTCAGGGTAAGTAGGGAATCTAGATGCTATCATATCTCACATGGATACTCACAGTGTCAGGGCATGAACCTGTTTGCTCAGACAACCTGGAAGGGAGACACAATTGCCTGGCTTTCTTCTTACTTTGGCTACTAACTTACTGCAGACAAATCTCATCCACCTCTAGTCTCCAAAGATACAACTGGGACTTCAAGACTTGTCACTCACAGTACTATGATACAAGGGGCTTTTCTTCAGCGTGAGTAAGAGAGCATAAGGAGCACAGAGCAGTTACTCTGCTGAAGTGGAAAGTCCAAGACCTAAAGCTCTACTGCCCTGGGCCTGCAGTCACTGTCTGCAGGAAGCTTTCCAGCTGCAACTTCTCCAATGTCTAAGGGCTGAGAGACCTTTAAGAACTCATGGTGCCTCCTCCCCATTTCCTTCTGGTGCTATTTTCTCCCCCAGTAAGCTCCCTTGGCTTTTACGATGTAACTTACAACTGAGAATATCAAACCTCTGAATAGAACGCATTCTGGTTTTCACAGTTCCATGCTCAAATTCCCTGAAGTTACAGAAAAACCACACACACACACACACAAGCAAAAAAGCAGGAATAAAGTCACCAAAACTCAAGCACCAAATCAGTGTTTCTCTGGCCTAGCTGGGCTGTAGCTGCTCAGTAGACTGAACAGAACAGGAAGTCAGGCTCCCTGGCTGCTCATGCTGTATTCGCTGTCTCATTCATTCCAGTAAACTCACTGCAAAATGTGTCTCAAGTGTCTGGATGAGGCCGCATGGGTAAGCCCCAGGTCTGGTCCCTCCTCAGCCAGTAAGTCCTGGATAAGTCCCACAGCCTTTCAGAGCCTTTGTATCCTCAGCCACAAGGCAGAAGCCGTCACACCTTCTTCATCCATCCAAGCAAGGCAAAAGAAGACAGCTGGTGAAGTAGCACTTTGCAAACAAAGTGGAGGATTATTCATTTATGTGAAGACACAAGACTATAATAATTTAGTAAAATAAAAGTCCCAAATCTTGGAGGATAAACTTGGTCTTACCACATTCACATCCAAATCCTAGTCTCACTTTTTGGATGACCACTCAGAATACAGCATTGTTTGCAGGCGACTAGCACTCAACAATACTCAACATCATCTATGGGACTAGCAGCCAAAGAGAGACAAGTCTCTCCACAGGTCACAGAGCATGCAGCTTCTAGCATAAAGGAAACTCAGGTCTCATCTTGGTCCAGAGGTACAATATCCAAGCTGCCTCAATGTCAGGCCATGCTTCAAAAGTCTAGACCTATCACCCATACCTCTGAGTCAGAAACTCTCCCTCTGAGTTCAGAATCCCCTCTACTCTCCAAGGTCGGTGGTCAATTCTGAGTAAGTCTTTTTGACTCAAGTGATTCGAGGTCACTGGGATCTACAAGGATAGGCCAGGGACTGAAAAGAGCAGAAGGGACTGAGGTTATTAACTTAGAATTTTGGCGAGTCCTTTGCCCTATGGTCCTGGATGTTCCCATACTGGTATCCAACAGGCCCAGAGACGAACTCTACAGAAGCTTCAGCATGAAGAGCCTAGGTTTTCTCTGTACACCCTCTATCCCATCCTGGGTTCCAGTACTCACCCCGGGGCCATGGCTGAATGAAGGTTACACGGGGAACCCTGAGGAAAGTCCTGTGATCCACCAGGGTCTCTGAATCAGAAGACCACAGACCCTCTGAAGACAGCTACGATTTAGACTCTACTTAAAACCAAACAGGAAAAGGAAGCTGAACCAGAGACAAAGGGGAAACAAACCCAAGTGAAAAACTGAAACCTAGGTAGAAAATAGAGAAACAAGAAGCTAACAGCACAGGGCCCCACCAGTGTGGGTGGCTGAGATCTGCTGCCTAGGCCCGAGACTGGCAACCTCAAGCTCCCCAGTTTCCTGTTGAATGAAAAAAAAAAAAAAGAAAAAGAAATGAAGACATGACTGCTCCTAAGGGGTTGAGCTTCTTAATTAAAAGGGAGAGCACAGGCAGAGATAGAGGCATCTAGAAGAGTCCAGAGTGAACATGACCAACAAACTGAACTAGGCCTTGTGAGGAGAGGGGGAAGGGTAGATAGACAAAAGGACTGGTAACCAAATAGCTGAGGTTATATAGGGAAGAGCAGCTTGAGGAAGGGCAGCCCAACCCTGGGCTGGAGACCTAGGGTGGGGGGCAGAGCACCAGCCAGGATGATTCTGTGACAGGTACTGATGAAGCTGAGAAGGACTGTCAGACAGTGTCTGCTTTGATATGTTATTAAACACTTTAGTTTGCCTTTTGTCCCAGGTTTGAGACATAATACTTGTAATGGCCACAAAGTTGGCCAAGAGCCCACTAGTGACTACTGGTTCCATTATCTGGTCTAGGTCAGAACCACATCAGGATCTAGACCCAGTTTTCCATTTGACAGAGCAGGCTCAGCACAGGTGACTTCCTACAGTTTCCTATGAGAGGGCCGCTAGACTCTCAAGTCCTGGCTGGTTCTGAGACCAGGGCCTGTATGGCATCTACACCTGGAACAGACTCTCTATTTGACTCCAGGGTAAAATTTGCATTTCCTCTGGAGACATGGCTTTCTTATAAGTGGTTTCTTATACCACTATCTGAAAGAACACTGCAGGAACATGGGATCCCGGCTTTGTCAGCTATTCAGTGATCATGGCCTCATTTCCCTAGCACAGGGTGGCTCTTTTGCCAGTTCCCATGGGTTTTCATGAAGATACAGTCTTCCTAACTTCGCAGAAAACCCACTAAAAGTTGCACACTGTGCTAGAAACCAGAAACCAAGATGGAAGGAAGGGCAGACCTTGTCTTTAGAAGGCTTTTAGAGTTCTACAGCTGGGTGCAAGAACACACCTGCAAGGCCAGCACTCGGAGGCTCGTGGGTTTGAGGCCTACCAAGGATAGCAGTGCGATCCTATAAAGACGACGACTGCGGCACTGTGATGAATGGACCTGTTAATAAGTGGGTACATTCAAATGTCATTGTTGCAGCGGTGGGAGGTAGCTGTGTGAGTGTCATGACGGGTTTGTTCTAACTGGAGAGATGGATGCCCTTTGAATGTGGAAAATGCATTTTGAGAGGTATTAAAGATCTACATTTCCTGTTAAGCACTGTCAGCTGCAAACCATGCTTTTGACTTGTGGTTTTGCTTTTAGCTGGTTGGAGTATTTGCTATTTTCCCTTGTGAATTTTTCTTTTTTTTTTTTTTTAACTGTTAATTATTTGGAAGTATATTATTTAATTTTGTTTTGCATCAAAATCAATGGTGTTTTCTTGCTCTGTTGCTATTTACTACTGTGGTCAGAACATGTGCTTTTAGTATGTCTTTTGTGTTTCTTGGTATGAATGTGATTGTTTTACCTGTACAGAGATATCTAGGGCCCAGTATGTAGCTCGGTTCGATGAAGACACTGTGGTCACAAGAGAGCAAGTGTGTTCTCTACAGCGTCAGTTAGGTCAAGGTGGTTAACAGGTGCAGAACTTCTATGTCCTCACTGTTTTCTCTAACCATTTCATCAGTTGCTGAAAGGCCTTGAAAATCTCTAAGCAACTTAAGGCTGGGTGTGTCTCTTTCCAGCTTCATTTCTGTTAATACTTATATTTTCTACATTTTGGAGCTTTTATTAACAACACATTCTGTTCTGTAGTCTTTATCATTGCTACTGTAGCAAATTACCACAAACTTAGTGGCTTACAACAATAAAAATGCATTATCTCATAATTATTGTAGGCTAACAGTAGGTGAGAAGTCCATCATAGATCGGATTTTCAACACGGATCTCACTAGGATACATTAAGATGGTAGAAATAGCGCACTCCCTTCTTGAAGTTCTGCAGAAGAGCTAGCCCCTCCCCTTCTCCTCTCCTACATAGTACCCACATTCCTCGGGCCATGGCTCCCTTCTTCATTTTTAAAGCGTGTAATACATCACTCTGACCCCCTCTTCTAAAGTGACCTATCCTTCTGGCCATGGTTAAGGCAAAAATCTGCTTTTGCTTCCTCTTGTTTTTCAACTGGCCTCAAACCCTGTGTAGCTGAGAATCACCTTGAACCCCTGATCCTCCTTTCTCTGCTTCCCAAGTGCTAGAATCATAACATGAACCACGAAGCCCAGCAAGTTCTTTTCTTTTGTGTGCATGTGTTCATGTGTGTACCTATGTGTGCATGCATACATGTATGTGCACATGTATACAGGTCAGAGAGCAAAACTGGGTGTCTTCTTCAGTCACCCTCCATGTTAGCTTCTGAGACAGGCCTCCCGGGCCTTTCCTGATCCTGCCACACGCTGCCTGGTTTCAGTGGCCTGGACCCCTAGTGTGAGCCTTCCATGTTCTTTGACCATCCTACCTTGTACTGCCCTCCAGCTGGAGATGTATCCTGACTTTCCTGGATCGAGTTCTTCTGTCCCTGAAGGCAGAGCCAGGGAAACACTTCCATAGGTGTTTATCCAGCAGGGAATGCACAGACACTCTTACTTCAGTTTCTCAGGTCAAATACATTTGCATTTTCACAAGTTGGAGCTTTCGATGGCTCAGGTTTTCTCCTCAGGGAACCCTTCCATATCATCCCTATAAACCCTGAGGTTCCTAGCTAATAACTACAGCTGCATTTGCGCCACTGTACTGTGTTGTTACTGTGTCTACAACTTTAGTTTTCTCACAACGCCTTCCTCCGCAAGTGTTCATACAGATGTGCTGTTTCACTTGCTGCTCTCACTGCGTACTCAACAGGAGCTGGGGCAAAGGCATTCCACAGGGTGAGTGGCTCTGCTGCCTTGAAATGTCCTTTGTAGTTCAGGCTAGCCTCAACCTCGCAAAAATCTATTTGCTACTACCTCCTGAATGATAAGATTAGAGGCCTGGCAAGTTCCTTACTTTTGAAAGTGGGCCTCATTCAAGGTCTAAGGATTCAGGCAGAATACAGGCACACATTTTCCTTAGAATATCACAAGAACAGACTCTAGCCCAGGTCCTGACAAAGTCTTGTTTCGCTCTGAAACCTTATGAACCAGGCCCTCTTAGTTTTGAGACAAGGTCCTCTCTGACCCTGGAACTCATCATTGGCTAGGATGGTTGGTCAGTGAGTTACAGGGGTCTGTGACACTGCCTCAACCCCTGCAGTGGGCTTATAGATGCATGATGCCACACTTGCCCTCTATATGGGCGCCAGAGATCTGGACAATTCTGATCCTGCATGCATTGCTGATGCTGTACTGACTGAGCCATTGTGCAGGCCGGCAGTTCTTTCAGTTTTTGGCCTTCTGGGCTCTACCAGATGCCCACCGAGTTTAGTTTATAATACTCTTGGGCTTCTTTAGCCCGGAGTTCTAAATTCTTCCTCATTTTTCACATAAACCATGTGGTCAGGCTTACTCAGGGAATGGCCCCACTTCTGAATGCCAGGCTTTTGTGTGGTTATTTGTGTTGCTGTGACAAAATCCCCAACAGAAGTAACCTGAGGAAGGGTTTGTCTGGCTAATGGTCTAGGAAGTGATCCATCCAATTGTAGTGGTACACACCTTTAGTCACAGGACTCAGGAGACAGTGGTAGGTGGATCTGTGAGTTCAAGGTCAGCTTGGTCCACAGAGTGAAACCCTGTCAAATAAATGAACAAACAATGGGAGAAAGTCTTTTATGACAGGAAATGGCAGACCAGGTATCAGAAACCTGGTCACACTGTGTCACCTGTCAAAGAACAGAAGACAGGAAGTGGAGTCAGGAGATAAAACCTCAAGGCCCACCTCCAGTGACCCACTTCCACCCAGTGAGGCTCCACCTCCTAAAGTTTCTACAACCCTCTCAAACAGGAGACCATCAGCTGGGGACCACAGGTCCTAACATACTAGCCTGTGGGAGACATGTCATATTCAAATTGCGGTTGGTCTCTTCACTCAGGTTGAGCTGACAGCCAGCTCCACATCCAGGCGACTGCATGGCGTCTTGATACCACCCTTCCTTGCGTTGCTCTGCAGAGGGCCATCTGAGCTGGCTTCTAGGAGTGCACACAGGCAGCCCCTAGGCAACAGCTCGAGCGAGGGAAGCCTTACACAGAACTCAGCTGTCTCTGCTCAGACCTGCTCCCTCCTTCTCTAGTTCTTACTAAGCCTAACTCTATGTGATCTGGAATTCCAGGATCTGCCTCCTGGGATCCCTTTAGCTTAGGCTCCACCCTTTTCCCTAAAACAGAAAAGCAAAAAGAGGCAGAGGGCTCCAGCCACTGTGGGGCTTATCATGATATTTCTTCTCAAGAATCAGAGTCCTACAATGTCTGAAGTCTGTTTGATCCAGTCCCCTTTGTAGACTTTTCTCATTTTACAGATGTTTTCAAAGTAAGTCATTACTGTAACTTCATCAAGGAGAGAAGCAGAATCGGTTATAGCTATTGCAATAACAAAGGTTATTTTTTCATTTCCTGAAGATGTTGGCTTATCTGTAAATATCTCTGTGATAAAGTACCTTACAGTTTCCTCTCCCACTTCCTCTGTCTTTCACATAGTGCTACTGTCTTTTCTGGTTTCAGTAAGCAGGTAGCTAGAGTGAACTTTTGGGAGACCTTTTAACTCACTCCTCAAGCTTTAGTACCACACTTAGCAGAATTATGAGAAGGAGCAGGGAAGGACAAAAAGCTCTGGCCTGGTCTTGCTCTATGCATGACTTCCTGGTTATCCCCACCCTCATTCTGGCTTCCTCATCTGTTCATTGAAAGTAATGGCTTTATTAAAAATTC